TCCTTTTGCTCTGCTCTCTCTTCACCATGGGAGATTGGTGTAGCATCTACCAATCTCCAGCTCCATTCTCCCCTCACTCATGGACAGGATCTGAAGATACTTGAGCTTCTCCATATTAGGCAGTACCTCTGCTCTGAGCTGAAGAGGGCAAGCCACCTTTTTTGTGTCAAGAACCATGGACCCCGACTTAGAAAAGCTGATCTTTATCCCGGCTGCTTTTCACTCGGCTGCAAACCTTCCCAATACATGCTGTAAGTCTTGTCAAGAGGAAGCCACTATGATCATGTAATTCTCAAAAAGCACAGATGAAATTCTCTGGTCCCCAAAGCAGACTCCTTCCAGCCCTTGGCAACACTGAGTAATCCTGTCCACAGAGGCTATGAACAGGACAGCTGACAGAAGGGAAGCCCTGCCAGAGTGCAACATACAATGGAAAAAAAATCCAATTTAGTGCCTGAAATGCTTCCTAGACTCCTGCTCCACTTGTACAGAAGCTGGATGGCCCCTAGTAAAGGGCCCCCTCATTCTGTACTTCTGCAGCACCCTCACTACAAGTGATGTGGTCGCCCTCTACAGGTCAACAAAACAAAGATGAACCAACTCTTCAGGAATCTTGTCGGACCACGCCATTCAATCCTCCTTCTTACATACACATAATCTTACATATAGGGGGCTCACAAAGTGATCTTTTCCTTCAAATTTTGAGAGCATTAACTATTCAAATATATTAAACTGATTCAAAATAATTAATTCAGTATTTAAACATAAAACAAGAATACTTCGTGTCACATTAAAACAATAAATAAATACAAACATGCTGTTTGTTTTATTTAAAAGACAGTTTATTAGCCTCCAACAGCACAGTCATATGAAATATCATCTTGAAATCCATAATTATGAAATGAAGAAATGAAGAAAAAAGCTTGTATTGCAGCAGTAAAAGAAAAGGCTAAACAGAATCTATAAAAGAAATGTCATAGATTACATTTCTAGTAACATGGACTTATTTTTTTGACTAACTTAAGGATTCAATCACAATTTTGTTACAGCTGCAATGTGGATACGTAGTTTCCATTAATCCAATAAAATCTATTTTATTTGTCACATAATCTCACAGCAACAATATTGAAGATGCAACTTTACTGTCTATCTGCTTCGTCTCTTGGAAAGTTTGGTTAACTGAGAAATTATTTTCGTTTTAACAGTTTCCCCAAATTGAAGCCCTGAAAGGTTCACAATGAGTTTTTTTAAAGTCCTACAGAACTCTTGTGCCATTATACCCAAAAAATATTGGCAGAAATAAAACTTTTTTCTTTTTGTAACTTTCTTATAAATTTGTTTTTATTTGGCCTTAAAAGGCTAATTTAAACAAATTAAAGGAAGTGTAATTCTGATAACTTACACTGTTCTGTGTGTTTTTGATTTTCTAACAAATACAATGTATGTCATTTTTATTCATTTTAAAGAAGGCAACATTTGTTGTTATTCAGTTCTGAAAGTGGGGTCCTTAGCAGGATTTTAGGTGTTTTGCAATTGTTCTTTTTACCACAGGAGGTGCTGTAGAGTTTGTCTTTGACCTAGACCTACAACTGTATTACTGGCTGCAAAGTCAAAACAAAAAATCTTGAAGTAAATCTGTGATAACAACATGAAAAAAAGCAAATACGCATTTTTAATCAGGCTAAAAAACAAAACAAAAAACCCACATGCCGTTCAGGGCTTCTGCAAGGAATCTTGACCAAGGTTGTTCTTTTAACAACACAATATTACAGTTTGAAGCATCCTACTGGTTTTGATTGTGCAGATCTAATAAACGCAGACAAGGAAGTCAGCATTTAATGTATTTGGCACCTCTGTCTAGCTTGATCAAAAATAAATGTGAAACTTTAACACCAAACTCAAACGAACAAAGTTTAATAAAATGAAAAAGAAAACAGCTGCACATTTTAATATTACAGCACATTATGAGACTAATGCTGTAACAAAGGCTATTTAACAAGTAATAAAATGAAAAAAGTATAAAATAGAAAACAAAATAGGAATAAAAAAGAGATTGAAACCAAAATCCCGTAAATTAAGATTTAATTAAAAGTCTGTGTCTACATATTCCTCCGTGTCTCCAGGTAGTGGTATACAGGGTTGCACAGCTGAACAAATGAAGCTAAAGAAAACCACTGTAAGGTGATATTTAAGCAGCATTTGATGCTACACGCATGAACCAAAGTATAAATTGCACTTTATATTAAATGAGCACACATCTCAACAGTACATTAATATTCCACTATACATATATATCAAACTACATTCAATGTAAAGAGACAGAGAGAGAAAAAACTGGTGAAAAAAAGGCTGTCATGAAGATTCGGTGTCATTGTCGTTGACACACTAAAGTTAGCCAAAGCCGATGTACTCTGCTGATGTAAGGCCTATAAATTGAAGTAAATGCACAGTAAGTACACACTGACATGCAAATGCCCTCTTAATTCCCATCAGTATTACATTTGCAGATGTGTTTTTATCATGCTTTATCATGAGCTTTAAGTTCCTTCATATCAACACAAAACTGGCATCAGAAACTAAAAAGGAATGCTGCTCAAACCCAACAAAATGCCTTCATTTACAAAAAAACCCATAGAAAAATAAATAATGCACCACTTAGAATAACGAAACAAATACACAATTCAATGTAAAAAAAAAAAAAAGAAGAAGAAAAATACTACTTCAGAAACATAAACCTCCCACAGCTGTAAAGAAATCTGTTTTGTTTGTTTTTTTAGCTTGAGCTGTTGGTAAGATTAAAATAAAATAAAAAAACACTGATTTGTACAGATGTGCATCCACTTTTTATCGAGATGAGATAAACAGTTAAACAGAAACTCTAAAATCTGCCTGTTGTTACCACGTCTGCTCTTACATAAAAGATCTGACCGTACGATGCTTTGCAAAGGATGTTACGCCTCTTGAACTCTTTCACATCCAGCCATGTTACAACAGCAAACTTCAATATATTGGAAATATAAATCACCTGTGACATGGATATATGATGTATGATATTCTGTATTTATATTTCCAGATAAAGAAAAAGAAAAGTGTAGCATGCATATGTATCTATGGAAAACCCCTGAAGCAAAACCAGTGCAGCAAAATGCCAACAAAAGCCACCTGGTAATCTGATCTCAGTGTAAGTTCAGCCGATCTGTGAAGGGCTAAAAAGTTCAGTGAAGAACTTTAGTGAACAAACAGCTTCATAACGACACACACAAAAAAAAAAAAAAAATGCAGCAGAAAGCTATTTTTCTTTAGAGTTTCTTTGTATGATTAATTTTGAAAACATTATTCCATGTGTAAGGTGTACACTTCATTTTATCTTCTGAAAATCAGTAGCCACAGATCTAGCGGCACAAACTACACTGCAAAAACAATCTAGAAACAAGTACAAAAAATCTTAAATTGGGTGTATTTACTCTTAATTTGTGTAGTTTAATAAGATGATTTGCCAAAGGAATGGGTATTTTTACTCTTAAAATAAGATAATTAGATAATATGCACTTGAAGTGAGACAATGCTATAGTTTTTTTTCTTTTTTTAAATGTAAATTGTCTTTTTTCATTGGCAAAGGAGTTCCTCTGTGCAGTTTGTTAGAAGTCAAAGCTGCTCATGTCAGATGAGCCTAAAGATAGCGTTTTTTTTTCTACATGCAAAATTATATATGAAGTAAATGAAACACCAAACACATCGTGATCAATGTGATAAAAGTTGGTGGCAGCATTGTATTATGGGATGGCTATTAAGCAAGGTTAGGGATGAGGTCAGTATCAAGTAAACACAAGGCAATTCTGAAAGTAAAACTAGCATTAAACTATTTTCGATAAGTGCATTTATATATATGTGTGTGTGTGTGTGTGTGTATGTTCTCACATGTTCTTCGTCCAATTTGACTGAGCTTGAGTTGCTTTTAAGTAAAAAAAAAAAAATTGTCACAAGACAGGGTTCCAATCTAGGATGCAAAACACATGATAAAAAAAACCCATTTACCTTCAACTTCATGATTATAAGCTACTTTGTGCTCGACAAACACAGCAAATTTGAAGAAAATCTATCGAGGGCTTTGGTTGTAACATCTCAAAATGTGATATAGGCCAAGGGCTTTTGACACTTTTGCAGTACATTTTGTAGAAAAAAAAAACAGTATAACCTTGCATAGCACCCATGATGACATAATAACCAATTCTACTGTTTGAACTTTGAAAAGCTTAACGGACTTGTGTAAAAAAATAAATCTAAATCTAAACTTCCGGCTATTTTTGCTCCATGTTTATTAGGAATGTGATACAACTGGCCAGACTGATGTTGGTGGAGGATTGTTAATATCCTGTAAGTGAACAGATGTTTTCACTGGATACTTAAGACAATACACAAGATGTAGGAAGAAAGAAGCTTGGATCTATGACTGTTATGTTTACATTAAAGTTTTTTTTTCTAATTTTAGGCCCAATACACAGTGGGATTAGTTAAAGCTGATTTAAACAGCTTTTTGATATTAAAAACATAAGTTTATTTTAAACCTACATTTCCTAAATGGTGTTCATGCAGCAAACTCAGCTTTACTGTACACATAATCCCTTACAAGTTCAGCATATCCACAAGCTCCTGTTCAAAAGCAAGAGTAACTTATCTTCCTTTAGAGTTTGAATTACGGGACAAAAGATGTACCCTGGATGACCTTTCAACTGAATTACTGTTTGGGTTATTAAGCCTCACAAGTAAAACCCAAACTCTAGAAAAGTGAGACTTATTTCCATCCTCTGCTGTAATCTTTTATACAAGCACTGTGCAGCTTTAGTGAATAAATGGATGCCATCTTGCTTTTAAATGCGGTGGCGTTTTTCTTGGTGAAGACAAAACAAATCAAAACAAAAACAGTGCGCAAAGTCTTTCCCAAATTAAACACCCTCTAAACACCATTCAAATGGTTTAAAATAAGGTATAAATTCTCTTGATAAAGGAATGAATCAAAGCTCGAGGCACCAAAGGCAATTATAGTGTACAGAAAATACAAACAATGTGTAAAAAAAAAAGAAAAAAAAAGAGTAAAATAAGAAAAAAATGAATAAAGAAAAACATCAAAACTGCACCGTATCAAGGTTCCCAATAGATCTCAGAGGGAGAATGATGAGTGACTCTCCTGCAGTATCCATTTCCATTCCTGTGCTCCCCAATCGTGCTATCCAGGCTCCAGTCCAAACTGTATGAGACTGATTGGTTTTCCTTCGAGTGCAGAGACCCTTGTCAAGCTCTCTGATCTTGTCCAGAGATGCGCGACCCCTGAGGAGGCGCCGCACTAACGATGCCGAGCCCCGTGAGTGCAACGGCAAAAGCCTGCAGAGACTGTTCGCTCTACAGGCCTCACCACAATAAAGCAACAATTACTGACACCTTTTATATGAGGGGGGAGGAGGGTACTCAGGCAACAAGCCATGGTGTGACTCCCTTAAGAAGATTAAAGGAAAAAAACAGTTTAAATTTCAGAGCTTTGGGCCTTCTGATTAGTTTTTTTTTCCATACATAAATTTCAAAGCAATCAAATAACTGACATTTATGTACATTACATTTAAATATAGAACACTACTCATGCTTTTTTTTAAGGGATGTGTGGGGAAGCAATGTTCAGTCAGCTCAGTGCAGTCTTTTTTTTTCTCCCTTTTTATATATTTTTTAGTCTTTGAGCAAACGGTGCTGCATGAATAGTTGGTGAGCTCATGGAGACAAAACAGCACACGACACATAGCGTTTTGTGTTAAGAAGCCAGTCCAGATCCCATTTCCTCCACTTGTTCTCGTCTCACTCCTTCCAACCGTTAGGATCTGGCGGGACAGCCAGTGCCAGTCTGAGTCATGCAAAAAAACACAAAAAACCCCTAAAGACGTGAGTTCTGCCGGCAGCTGAGGATCTGAACTCCATCACGAAGCAGACGTGAGACAGCGAAACACACGTGTGTTTTTGTTTCCACACAGCCATGTGAGTAGAAGCAGCTTACAGATGGTTATCTCTCTCTCTTTTTTTTTTGTATTGTTGCACACATAGACTTCTTTTCTTTTTGACTCTTTTTCCATTAAAAAACTATAAATACCATAAAAGAAGCATTATTTACAAACTCCATGCGTTTCAGGTTAGAGTGATCACTGCAAAAAAAGACACACAAAAACAGGTTGTTTCATCACTTTTCAGTCATCCTTCAGTTTGAACACAATGAGATGTAGCACACAGCACATATGTGGTTTTATCCGATTTATCACAACTCCCATGCAAAAAAAAACAACAAACAAACAAAAAATAAAATGAAAGAACATAGAACAAACTAAATTTAACGATTATATACCATATAATCTGTTCTATACTTAGAAGACTAAACAAAATAAAAAATATCAAAATCTGCTGTGGTATCAAGTTTAGTTAATTTTGTTTGCATTGAGGAAATTAACAGCATGGCATGATCTCACCTTCTGCCAGCAGCCAGGCATGGGTAATCCATCTGGACCCTGTTTATAGAAGAGTAATAATTAGAACTGAAACAGGGATTTAACAAGTCAGCTTGTGTAAAACTGTGACATACATGATTTAGTAAATTAAACTGTAAGCCACCCTTTAAACATTTCAAAAAATAATAATTTCAAAGATAATACTATATTAAACACAAATCTATGAAATGTACTTAAATGAACAGACATGCAGCTTTATTACAATGATTTGTCATTTAAGGTTATGATTTGTCATTAGGTTATACTGATTCCAGTGTAATGGTTTTAGTTAGCTATAAGTGTGTTTTCAAGTATCCCATACTATTTGAAAAAAAAAAACAAAAAAAAAAAAACAAAAGCTTAAATTAATCCTTAATAGTTTTCTCCTTTTTGATTACAAGTAATTAGGCTTTCTTGAGACATAATTATGTTAGTTAAAACAACAGTTCTTTATTTTTAAAGAAATGATTTTTTTTTAATATTTGGACTTTGGATGCTTTTTTAATTAGCTTCTAGTCCCACAATTCCAACAGTGGATTTTTATGTTGGAATACTGTATAAAGGGTATAATTTTAGCATTTTATTCTATTTTATTATATAGTGTTTTCAGTCATATTTTTGTTTCTTTTTTTTTTCTTTTTTTTATGTTTCTGATTCAGCTTACTGTTTAAAAATCAAAGTATTCAGGAGAAACAATTTTTGTTGGAGTATTTAACCTTAAAACCGGAAATATGTTATGAGGTTTAAGCCCTAAGATTACTTATTCAGGCAATATATTTGCAGAGTACTTGGTCCTTTTATATTTCTCTGTCCTTTACATTTTGTATAAATGCTGACAGTTGAAGGTTTTATCATGAAACTGATGAGAACCACAAGCGGAAAGGATTGTTAGTGTAAAAATTATAGCTCTAATTGGTATGGTTCTACTTTTGGAACTAGAGAAAAATCTGCCAAAGTCCAAATAAAAACTTTTGAAAACTTGCAGAAAGCTAATAGAACATCTGACAAAGACACTTTAAAATAATTTCAGGAAGTCTAAATGTTTTGAAGTGAAGGTTAATGAAATTAAGGATCGTTCCTAAAGTTTGTATTTTTGAAGGCCATTGAGGGCTTAATTGAATCTATATACGGCTATTAATCAAAAGTCAAGAAAAATGGCAACATACTATTACCAAAAGCATTTGCTCACCCATCCAAATGATTGAAATTAGGTTTTCCAACCACTTCCACAGTCATAGGTTTATAAAATCAACACCTATGTAAGCAGGCTTTACTATCATTTGGATATAATGGATTGTTCTCAGGAGCTCAGTGGAAT